AGAAAGAAAGAAAGAAAGAAAGAAAGAAAGAAAGAAAGAAAGAAAGAGAGAGAGAGAAAGAGAGAAAGAAAAGAAGGAAGGAAGGAAGGAAATTAAAGGGGAGGAGGGAGTGTGCGGGGCAGGGCTCTATGTGATATGGTGGTGTTCCCTTCATGTCTCAGAAAGCTCTGAACTGCTGAACCCAACACAGCCCAGGTGTCTGTCAGAGATCAGGGCTGGTCTTGGTCTTGTCACAGCTCCGTCCACCATCACAGGGCAGCGAAGCACAAGGATCACCGTACAGTGCTGTCCTGACTCAGGTAACTGTCCCTGCACTGTGCTCTCTACCAAATCCCGGCACAGGTCTTCTCATAGCCCCGGGATGCCCGGGGCGCAGCCTGGACTTCCATCAGACTCACACAGATCCAGTGCTGTCTGTATTACAGCCTGTCACCTCAGGAATGTCCCCGGCACAGCCACATGCTGTTTCCTGCCCCATTCCAAATACAACATGTTCCCCCTCTACAGCCTAGGATTGTCCTTGGCATGTCTTGGGGTTGTTTCTTTCAGGCCCCAGAACTGTTTCAATGTCAATCTAGACTAACTAGTCCCTGCAAGATAATCCTTGCCAGGCCCCAGCCAGCAATGGCTCCCTTATACTCCAGGATTTCACCATGTGGGCACTCACCACTGGGCACTCAGCTCTGAGCAGCCTCGTGTTTACAGGGTAAAACTGCCTTCTTCCTCAGAACCCAGATCTGTCCCATTAGAATGGGGACTGGCCCAGTATGGCAAAGTTGTACCCATCCAAGGCCACCACACTATCAAAACCTGTTATACTGTCATATCCCAAGACAGTGTCTGTCTAGAACATTTCTGTCTGTCTCTAAGAATTGGGAGATGTAAGGTCTGTTCAGGAACTCATAAGCCTGGACTAAGAGCATCAGATAGTCAGGTACCAGCTAACAGCAAACATTTTGCCAAAGTTATGTATGGCCCAACTGTTTGCGTCCTCACTTGTGAGTCATGTTTTCTTAAGATCTTGACTCCAAAACTCTGCTGCTTGGCACCTTCTGTAAGCACTGGGTATTGTTGCCTGGAGATCCGTGTCATTTTGACATACAGATTACAAAACCAGGTACAGAGCCTCAGACAGACACTACACACGTCTTTATGTGCTCTTTGTTCCAAGAAATAAGATCTTGGGTCCAGTTCCCAGCCAAGACTCTGTGCCTAGTCATACGCCAAGTCCCAGAGGTTCTGGACCCCTCATCTAAAGGAACACAAGTGGACCGGCCCTTAAAACCCGCAGGCTGTACGCCCCAGCCAACACTTCCTCGTACCCAGTTTACCCTGTGCTTCTCTCCCATGCCCTCCTCCATGCTCCTCACTTCCGACCTCCCGGTCCACGGATCCTCGCGTCAGGTACCTCCCGCACCCCACCCGTGTCTACCCGCGCTGTCGCCCGTTAAAGGCCGGTGCTGCTTTCCAAGGGGCCGCATCCGCCTCTGCGTCCCGCAGCGGAACCCGAGGCACAGAGGAAAGACGCCCAGTCGGAAAGGCTGCACACCGGTGGTCCATCCGGAAGTGTGCCCCCCATCGGGATCCCCAGAGGCCCCAGCGCTGGTCCGCCACGCACCCACCTGCCGTAGAACCGCTGCGGCCATGATCCGTGCAGACCGTAACTGTGCCCGCCTGGGGCGCGGCCTGCTAAAGGCATTCCGGCCCCGCCCTGCTCACTCCCCCTCCCGCACATGGCTGCTCTCTGCGGGCCTCACTTCTGCCAGGCCTTTCTGAGTATAGGACCTCAGGGACCCAGCTCTGCTGCAAAGAACATAGGCTGGAACAGTCCAGAACTGGCATGCACTCGCTCACTCCTGGCCTCCTCCTGCTCGGCCCCAGCCAGGCGAGCTTTGGCTCGGTTTGCTTTTGCAGTACTTAGGTACTAAACCCGTGGCCTCCTGTATGTTAGGGAAGCGCTCTAACCACCGAAGTAACATCTCCTTTTAAAAAAAAAAAAAAAAAAAATTATATTGCTGGGTGTGATGGAGTACGCCTTTAATTTTAGCACTTTGGAGGTACAGGCAGGAGGATTTCTGTGAGTTCAAGGCCATCCTGGTCCACCTAAGGAGGTCCAGGCCAGTCAGGGCTGTATAGTGAGACAATGTCAAAACAAAACAGAACAAACTGGGCTTAGAAAGAGGGCTCAACAGTTAGAAGCACTGGCTGCTCTTCCGGAGCACTGGGTTTGGTTCCCAGCACCCACACAGTGGCTCACAACTGAAACTCCAGTTTCAACGGATCCGTAGACCTCTTCTGAACTCCACAGGCACGAGGCATGCATATGGTAAGCTTATATGTATGCAGGCAATACACTCATACGCATAAAATAAAAATGTGAAAAGATTTTCTAAAAATAAAAGAACAAAAACATGCATCTTCGGAGGATCTTTGTCCGCAAAGACGCCGAGGCAAGGGTCAGCGAGCTCCTTCCGTCACCAGTACATCGGTAACAAGGAAAAGCTCACTGTAAATGGCGGTGGGTACAGAGAAAGGACATTTGAGAATGGGCCTGGTGGCCCCTACCTGCAATCCCAACACTCTGAAAGCTGAGGCAGGGGATTTGCTGCAAATGTGAGAGCATCCTACATGAGAGAGTTAGTCTCTGGTCTCCAACAAATGAAACAAAAGAACAGAACTGTGTAGAAAGAGGATTGGGTGGGGGATAATTTGTTCTTTGTAATTGCAATACACACACACACACTGTTGTTCATGCGCCCACAGTTCATTGTGCTTCCTTCCAGTCTCCTTAGAGAACAAAACTCAAAAAAAAAAAATCTCACACACCAACTTATTACAGAACCTCACATCAGTCCCCAGCTTAGGGGCACGAACCACACGCCTTCATCCATAGCTCCCATCATTAGTGTTTCAGAGGTACTTAGACAATCGGTGGATCAGGAGCTTTCTGCTGCCAGCATTCAGTTAAATCATATTTACACACACAATGCGTTTATACAGGATCTCACTCGGTGCTCCAGGCAGACTTCAAGCCTGCCATTCTCTCAATTTCACAAGTTACAGGGATTACAGTGTTGTCTAGCCCAGCTGTGGCAATGTCCTTCCATATTGTGCTTCTTGGTCTTGACACAAGATTTTCCCATCCGAAGTCTCTCTCTCTCACACACACACAATGTACAGGACGTTAGGTTTTTCTCACTCAGAAGTCTCTCTCTCTTACACACACACACACACACACACACACACACACACACGCTAACTGTGCATAGTTTTGTGTCTATGTACTTCTGCAGCAGGTTCTCAGACTCTACAACTCCAACTCCCCCAAATCACAACACTGTTCTTCAGACTGCCCCAGGCTGCAGTAACCAAATCACACACACGCACACTTTGCCTAGGCCACCCTTCCGCCTCCCCCAGCTTTCCCGGACCCACCACCACCTCCCCCAATCTCCCGCTCTCTCCTGCTAAACCCTCCCTCCTCGCCTAAGATCTCCAAACTGCTCGGCGGAACCCACGGCAGCAAACGCCCCCGCCGCAGCCAATCAGCGATTGCCGCACACCCCTGCCTTGGCCAATCCACAGCAGCTTTGCAGTTCCACCCCCTTACCTGGGGTGTGGGGAAGCTCTTACGCCCCGCGCCCAACCTGGGGAGTGTCCAGGGCCTGTTCTTTCCCCCAGCGCACCCCCGCAGTGTCCTTCAGCTCCAAACCTAGCAATACAAGTCCCAGCCTCCTCCCTCTGACCCAAATGTCTCAACTCCTCGCCGCCTCAGCACTCAAGATCCTTCCTCCCACCACCTCCCTATCGCGCCGGCAAAGAGCGCAAAACTCCTCTCCCGCAAGCGCCAGGAATAAAGGCAGCTGCTTTTGTGCTTCCTCCATTATCTGTCAATTACCACTTAATTTGTTCTCCCCAGCGGGTCTTTTAATTAGCACCCAGGTGAAGCAGAACCGCGCTCCCTGGAGACCACTCGCTTCTTCTGCCAGGTCCCTTTGGAGTAAGAAATACCCACGTGGCATAAAGGTAGCTGGTGTGGACAGACTTGTGGTAAGGAACAGGAAACAAATATGATGTTTCCTTTCTGGATACAAGTTGTCTTTATGACTCCAGGACGAATAATCAAGTGGGTAGAGGCAAAGGTGCTGGGGTAAATCCTGGGAGATAGGGGGTACAGTTGGAAATTTGAGGAGGGAATTGCTAGATGAGGGAGGGGCAACTTGTAGTGAGAAGCAGGAGTTTGGGGCTCGGCGGTAAAGCCCCTGCCTAGAATCCCCCAGTAAGGGGCTGCGGTTGTGGTTCGCGGATGAAACGATGATCACACCAAGGTATGGCTGAGGAGAAGGTTTTATTATATGTGGAAGAGTCCAGACTGAACTGGGCCATGGGTCGGGGGTGGGGATGGGGGCACGCGGCTGAAATGGCAGGTTTGTGTGGGAATCAGAAGCTGCGGGAAGGCGAGTTAAGTTCCAGGGCTGGAGAGGTTTAGAGTAGGAGACAAGGATGAGAAAGCACAGAGAAGCCACAGGCTTTGTGTGAACCTGGCTGCCAGCCTGGACTTTGCTATGGGCACATAGGCATCAGGGTAGCCGTTTGTCCTAAGTTTCGTTGTGAACTGACAGTCAGTAGTGGAGCCCTGCTTAGAGTCCCCCAGTGAGGTACCCGGGTGTGATTCAGTGGTGGAGCGCTGCCTAGAGTCCCCCAGTAAGGCACCCAGGTGTGATTCAGTGGTGGAGCCCTGCCTAGAGTCCCCCAGTGAGGCACCCAGGTGTGATTCAGTGGTGGAGCCCTGCCTAGAACCCCCAGTAAGGCACCCGGGTGTGATTCAGTGGTGGAGCGCTGCCTAGAGTCCCCCAGTAAGGCACCCAGGTGTGATTCAGTGGTGGAGCCCTGCCTAGAGTCCCCCAGTGAGGCACCTGGGTGTGATTCAGTGGTGGAGCCCTGCCTAGAACCCCCAGTGAGGCACCCGGGTGTGATTCAGTGGTGGAGCCCTGCCTAGCACAAAAAAGTGTCCTAGGTTTAATCTCCAGTACCACACAAAAAAGACAGGAAAGGGAAAGAGGGATGGGTAGGACATAACTTAGTAGGAGTTAGGGTGGGAGAATAGGGGTTTCCACGAGGCTGCTCCTAGTAGACTTGCGCCCATACCCCAGTTCTGCACCCCCTGTCACAAGAAGTTCAAGCCCTGTACAGAAGGTGGCTCCAGAGGCCAGGAACACCGCTGCAGCTCCCACCTCAGCTGGCTGGCCCATGCGGCCCAAGGGCTGGGGAGAGAAGGGAGGGAAAAAATTAAGAGTAGTCTTCCTTAGGCAATTAGTTCACACCTGTTATCTCAGCAAAAGAGGCCAGCAAAAAGCCTGAGAGAGGTTTGTCCTGAATTCAAGGCCAGCCTGAGCTAGAGAGTGAGACAGTCATGCAGGTGTGCCCGCGTGAACACACACACAGGGAATGGTCCGTGTCTGTGCCTCCAGCACTCAGAAAGTGGAAGCAGAAAGTGTCCCAGCTACATGTCAAGGACCAAGCCAGCCAGGATTACATGAAGCTCCAAGAGAGACAGAGAGAGGAAGGAGGAGGAGAGAAGATGAAAAAGACCCCGACTGCTGGCCTGATCTATACCCCCTCCCCAGTTACATCCATACCTCCCAGCTCTCAGTTGCTCCTACCTGGGCCAAGGTGCCTTCTAGGATGGTGGCACTGGGGTCTGAGGTTGAGGCTGCCAGCTCTTCCCACAGTGGAGTCCAGATGTTCCCTGGGGAGATGCTGGAGAGAAGGAAGAGGAGCTTATGCTAACCCTGGCCTGGCATCCCCAGCTGCCCCAGCCTGTTTGATCAACTCACCAGTTGACACGGACACCATATCGGCTCTCATCCAAGGCCAGAGCTTTTGTCATGGCTGTCACTGCCCCCTGCAGAAGCAGAGACCAGAAAGGGTTAAGTCTCTGTGGATGGAGTCCCTCCTGACCTCCTCTTCCACCAGGAGACAGCAAGGTTTAGAGTAGCCTCAGCCATCTTGACGACATTCCCTGCACATGGGCTCTGTGCACGCCCGTTTGTTACAGGCTGCTGTAACTCTGGACTAACTGAGGGAGGTAGTGTGGGACATTCCTGGGTTTTGATACCTTTGATCCCAGAACTTGGGAGGCTGAGACAGGTGGATTGCCATGAACTCAATACCAACCCAGGTTGCAGGGTGAGATTTTGGTTCAAACAAAATCAAGAAGGGCCTTTCAAGAAGGCTCAGCATTAAAGGCACTTGCTGCCCAGTCTGACAATCTGAGTTTGATCCCTGGGACCCACATGGTGGAGGGAGAGAGCTGACTCCTCTACCTCGTCCTCTGACCTACATATGTGTGTCGTGACATGCACATACACACAGAGATCCACACAGATAAAGACCCATGCAATAAATAAAAATGTAATTTAAAGCTGGGCGGTGGTGGCACACATCCTTAATCCCAGCACTCGGAAGGCAGAGGCAGGCAGATCTCTGTGAGTTTGAGGCCAACCTGGTCCACAGATCTAGTTCCAGGACAGGATCCAAAGCTCCAGAAAAACCCTGTCTCAAAAAAAAAATGTAATTTAAAAAATCAGAGCTGGAGAGATGGCTCAGCAGTTAAGAGCACTGACTGCTCTTGTAGGGAACCAGGTTCCAGTCCCAGTTCCAGGGGATCAGATTCCCTCTTCTAAAGTCAGTGTGAACCAGAAAGGCACCCAGTGCATATACATACACACCCACTGTGGGGCACAACCCCAGTGCATATACATACACACCCAATGTGGGGCACAACTACAAGGAAAGTAAACTCATTAATTTCCCAGGACTGGGGTGGAAAATGTGGCTCCTGTCCCTACCAGGTGGCGTGAGGTTAGGCTGTCAGGAAACCAAGGGGAACAAGTCAGTCTTCAGAGTCCAGTATTGGAGGGCCTAGCTGATATCTAACAGTTTAAACTTTGGCTTATGTGGTCAGAGAATGCTGTGGGTAGTTAGCAAAGCTGGGTCCAGGCCAAAAAGAAACTCTAAATAGATACAGAATGCCTTAAAATGTGTTTAAATGTTAAAAGGAAGGAAGGGGACTGGAGAGATGGCTCATCAGTTAAGAGCATTGCCTGCTCTTCCAAAGGTCCTGAGTTCAATTCCCAGCAACCACATGGTGGCTCACAACCATCTGTAATGAGGCCTGGTGCCCTCTTCTGGACTGCAGAAAGAATACTGTATACATAATAAACAAATAAATAAATATTTAAAATAATAATAATAATAATAACAAAAGGAAGGAAGGAAGGAACTAAGAGAGAGAGAGAAAGAGAGAAATGGGTATAAACAGTTATAGAAAGAAATAATTTAGGGGCTGAGAAATGGCTCAGAGGTTAAGAGCACTGACTGTTCTTCCAGAGGTCCTGAGTTCAATTTCCAGCAACCACATAGTGGCTCACAACCATCTTTGATGAGATCTGATTCCCTCTTCTGGCCTGCAGGGATACTTGCAGGTCGATGCTGTATACATAATTAATAAATAAATCTTTAAAATAAAAAAATAATTTAAAAATGAAGTCTTTAAAGAAAGAATAGTAATAAAAATAAGTCACATAAAGATAGGGAATGCACAGGGCATTTGGGTCCTGTATGGTGTTTTGCTCACTTTGAATTCTTTGACTGCAAATACACTAAAACAGCATCTGCTGAGAGACACTATGTAGGGAAGGGCCTGGTGATTCAACCAGCCTATGTACTTTAGGGATGTCTTAGATTCAGAATGGAAGTCGAGAAAAATGCTGCACTGGGGGAGAGCTGCGCCTTTGTTTGCACAGGAAATGAGAAGCTATGGATGGATTCCTTCAAAGTCAATGGAGATCAGATTTGAGCAGGGAGACCTCCTGAGGATCTTGGCTACCAACATAAGGGGAAAAGACAGAAAAGACTACAGGACGGGTGACGTGATGTATGTGCTGATCCTTCTACTATGGGAACAGCTCTGGGACTGTAACCTTGTTAGTACAGAGTGCTCATGACTTATCATTACATGCCGTTCTTTCCCATGGCATGGAGAGAGGTTCAGCTATACAGTCTGGATGGACTTACAAAGTTGACAGGTGCCTTTTACCTACTCAAACATAAAGTAAAAAGTCTTTAGCTGACTGTGCACACCGCATAGTCCATACTTGTGTTAATGCACATATATACGTTACCTTTAAAAGTTTGTGCTTTCAGAAAAAAAGGAGCAGACACCAATAAAGACAAGTAGCTCAGGTGGTCCGTGCTCTCAGAGTGCCTCTGCGGCAGCTTCCCAGAGTTCGGCATCCAGGGCCACTTCAAAGCTGCTGGCTGAGACGGTTCAGCCTCACAGACTACTCCAGCCAGACTTCAGATAAGCCTTACATTTTCCCATCACACCTAGCTCTCCCAGAACTTGACCACTATCCCAATTTTCTTGGGGTACCCTAAAGATACCTTTGCCCCCAGACAACAGGAAACAGTCTAGAGAACATGACACTCACATTCCCGAGAGGTGGGGTGGATGATTATTGGTCATTCAGTGGATAATGGATGTTTATCCTCACCGGAGAGGTACAAGTTGCTGTTGGTCATGGTCAGGAAAAAAACTGAACAAAGAAGATTAGATTCAGAGATCCCTTTCTGAAGGGAAAAGGGGGATATAGTATAGAAACAATGGATAAAAGGGTGGGTTGCTGAGTCTACTTCTGAACACCCACTAGTCTCAAATATATTGGTATGGATTTCTGTATATTGATACAAATTTAAGGTTGTTTTTGTTACATGATTTATATGTTTCTACTCTTGTTTACAGTATTTTCCTATGTGGCTCATTTTAAAATGTAATGTAAAGTTATGCAACTCATTTTAAAAAGTATAGTTCTAGTCTATAAAAACTGTTATTAAAAAACTATTTAAGAGGGGCTGGAGAGATGGCTCAGTGGTTAAGAGCACTGCCTGCTCTTCCAAAGGTCCTGAGTTCAATTCCCAGCAACCACATGGTGGCTCACAACCATCTGTCATGAGGTCTGGTCTGCAGGCCTACACACAGAAAAAATATTGTATGCATAATAAACAAATAAATATAAAAACTAAGATAATGCAAGTTAGTAGTCATCTATAATAAAATTAGATATATTCTCAAGGTTATATGAAGACATGATTTACATAGATAGATGATCTTCAAACACTTCAGATTTACAGAATGTGGCATTCAAAATATTTTAATTAAATAAGACTCTTCATGGTAGTCTCACATCTGCTCCTGGTAGCACCAATCTTCTTCAAAAAAAGATGGTGGGCAATGAAGAACCTACATATAGAGTTTGCTTTCATTGTGGCAAAATTAGCCACTGGGCAAGAAACTACCCTCGCCTTGACTGCTGAGCGTTTGCTGTCCAAACTGGACAAGGAGGACACAAAAGAAAGTGACTGCTGAGCTTTGCCAAGACAAGGCAGGGCAGTTCTTCAAAACTCCTGCTTCACAGAGAATCTGTCGTATATCCTAGGCCTGTAGACTGAAGATGGAAGCCCCAGTGCCGCAGAGGAACACTGGATGACTGTCCAGACAGTCAGCTGTTTCTGTCGGCACCACACTTCCTGCCCTTCTTGGGTCTCTGATGGGGACTGAAAACTCAATAGTGTATAGTTTTCCTTGTTACCAAATTCAGAAAAAAATTACATGAGAGATAAAATTTATAAGGTTGAGAAACATAAAAGCTTAAGTTATTTTTCTAAGAAGATGTTATTTTTAGAGTGATAATAGAGATTGAAAATGGTTTAGGTATAATACTCTGGCCTCACTAAGGTAGCTAACACAGCACTTTCTCTGAACTTGCCAAGTACATATGGACTAAACACTGTGAATGTAATTCTTGCTGATAATTATTCCTGTTTTACATAGTTCTACTGAGTTAGAGCTAAAACTTTTCCTTTTTTAGACAAAAGGGGGAACTGTTGTGGGATATTTGTACACTGTGTGAAGGTACATTGCTGTGATTGGTTGATAGTTAGGCAGGCAGTATAGGTGGGATTTCTGGGCAGAAAGAGAGGAAGTAGGAAAATAATCTAGGCACCCAAGAGATGCCAGGAGACACGAAAGAAGTGGTGGTAAGTCAGAGACCATAGATTAATAGAAATGAGTTCATTTAAGTTATAAGAGCTAGTGAAACCCAGGAGGTGGTGGCGCACTTGGGAGGCAGAGGCAGGTGGATCTCTGTGAGTTAGAAGCCAGCCTGGCCTACAGAGAGAGTTCCAGAATAGGCAGGCTCCAAAGCTACACAGAAACCCCTCTGAGGGAGAAAACAAAAAAGAAAGAAGTTCCAGGCTCAAAGCCAAGGCCTGAAGAGCCAGGAAAGGGCACCATGGAGGAGAGGAATGGCCTACCTTGGTGGCCACGTAGGTAACTGCCTGGGACTGGCCGATGGTCCCAACCAGGCTGGAGATGTTGATGATGTTGCCTCTGTGCTTTCGCAGGTGGGGGAGGGCAAGCTATGGAGAAGGACAGATCAGCCATCAGCACCCCAGGTGTGGGACTGAGACCATCACCCCATCAGCGATGGCATGTTCATGGTATGCTAGAGCTCCTGGAGGGGGGGTCTGTATCCTTTCTAGTCTTACCTAGTTCTCTCTCTTTCTCCCTCCTCCTCACCCCTCTCTCTCCTCTGAGTTTTCAGGTGCTGTTCAATGTCCGGCCCTCATCAAGCTGGGAAAAACCTAAATGCTGCTCAAAACCCTGCCTGTTCAGCACAACAGGAGAACACCTTCGGTTCCATTCAGAGACTGTGTGGGGGCTGTACAAAACTCTGTGGTCAGGATGTGACATGTGAACCTCAGGAGATGTACCCCACTTTCTGCCACCGTCTCTGGCCACTCCTCCACAAACCTGATAAACCTCAATAAGCTCAGTCTGTTCCTTTGATTGCTGCGGGCACTGGAGCTGAACAGGTACAGCCTGTTCTCACCACTGAACACGACTGAGCACAAACCAGCACCCCTGGAGCCACCTAGAGCAGGAACCTAAAAGGGTTCGTGGCTCACCCTCTCTCCACCAAATACAGCCTGGATGCTGCATCCTGATCTCCATCCTGAGAAAGCCACACAGTTCACATAGTGACCATCTCAGTTTGCCTTGGAACGAGAGGACCCTGGTGACTGTCCTGGGTTGTCACATGCCCTCCGGTCCTGTAACTGGCATTGCAATATCACTTCCATAATGAGACCATCCTGAGTATAAGGGCACCCTGACCACTAGGGCCCCTTCTCTCCTCTCAAGTGGGCCAGTAATAGTAAGTGTGCCTGAAATAGTATTTGTGGGAGCAAAACCCTTCCCATGCTCCCCACCCCTCTTTATTGTTTGTTTGAGACAGGATCTCACTATGTATCCTGTGTATAGACACTGGCTGTCCTAGAGCTCGCTATATAGACCAGGCTGGCCTCGAACTCACAGAGATCTACCTGCCTCTGCCTCCTGAGTGCTGGATTAAAGACGTGTGTCGCCATGCCCAGCTTCATGGCTCCTATTGCTCATAAAAACAAAACAGAGGGAGAGATTTCTGTTCTCTAGAGAGAGGCTGGTGCTACAGACTGATCAGTGAGTTTAGCATGGAGCATTCTAGAATATGATTAGGAAGCTCAACCATGCTCAACCATGCTCCATGGTTCCCTACTGCATCTGAAATCAAGACTGGACTTACCAGCATGGCCTGCACACATCTCCAACTAGGGCCTCTCCTCCCACCCATCAGCAGCAGCGAGGCTTTCTCCCAGACCAGGAGCACCAACCACCAACCCTTTCCTTCCTGGTTTGTTTTTGGGGATGGAATCTCACGGTGCAGCCAAGAACTCCTGCTCCTCCTGCCTCTACCTCCTAAGTGTGGAGATCACAGGTCACACCACCACGCTTGGTTGCGTGGTGCTTGGGATCCAAGCTATGACTGCATGTTTGCTGGGCAAACATTCCACCATCTGAGTCCCAGTCCCACCTCCTGGGCTCTTAGCATCCTCTTTGGCCACTTCCAAGCAGGCCTGGAGGCTCCGGAAGAGTCTGAGGAGGCTGTATCTGCCCAGGGGGATGTGGATCTGTGCCTATTTGTTTTTCTACATAGAGCAGGGTCCTCTAGAGCAGCGGTTTCTCAGCCTTCCGAAGGCTGACCCCTTTAACACAGCTCCCATGTTCTGCTGACCCCAAGCATAAAATCTGTAGATATGTTTTTTGATGATCTCATCCGACCCCCAAAGGAGTTGCTACCCACAGGTTGATAACCACTGTTCAAGAACAAGGACAAGAAGCCAAGGGGCACAAAGCAATGTGCTCCTGATGAAATGAGGGACACACGCCAATTGCAACTGCGCTTGCTTCACCTTGGTCAGGGTGTATGTCCCCAGTAGGTTCAGCTCCAGCAGCTGGCGAAAGTCCTGGGCAGAAGTCTCCTCAGGCCACTGCGCGGGTGGGTCTGAAGGGAAGAGAAGAGAGAGGGAGACAGGAGAGGGAAGGAGCAGAGGAGCTGCAGAGAGCTAGGGAGCAAGGCAAGGAAGGAGGCTGTGCCACAGTGTGCACCAAGGCAGTCTCTGCTGGCCCGGACCTGCCATTGCAGGGCTAAGTCACTGGGCCACGCCCAGCTCATATCTGCTCTCCCCACTGTGGAATGTGGGTTTCCCTGCACCCCCCCACAATGGAATTTGGTTATGTAGCCAGATTGAATAAGCATGAGCCTAAGAAAAGAAGGACACAGATAACAGGGACTCCCTGCAACTCTGAAAGCTAGGGGAGCCCTGCTGGCCAGGGCCAGTCCTCTACACCTCCTTCTTTGGAGGGGACTCTGGAGGGCCTGGGTGCTCTCTGAGCCTTAGTTTCCATTGGGACACATTGTTAGGTCAATGGAAACCTTCCAGACTGCCACACCGCGTGGAGTCTGATAAAGTGTGCCTAAGGTGTCCTTGTCATCAGCCAGGGCCTGGGCCTTCAGCAAAGCAGGATCTTGGAATAACCTAAGGGACAGTGTGACCTCCCAATGGAAAAGGTGATGATTATTTCAAAGATGGAAACTAAGGCACGGAGATGGCACACACACACACATGCACGTGCGCATACACACATGCACACGTAACACTTTTTTTCTTTTATTTATTTACTTATTTATTATGTATACAATATGTATACAATATTCTGTCTGTGTGTATGTCTGCAGGCCAGAAGAGGGCACCAGACCTCATTACAGAAGGTTGTGAGCCACCATGTGGTTGCTGGGAATTGAACTCAGGACCTTTGGAAGAGCAGGCAATGCTCTTAGCCACTGAGCCATCTCTACAGCCCCCACATAACACTTTTTTAAGGAGAAGGATGAGACAATAGGATAGAAACAGACATGGTGGGACAGTAGCCAAAGCCACACAACTTACGGTAGCCGGCATTGTTCACCACACAATCCAGGTGGCCAAACCGAGAGAGGGTCTCGGAAATCAGAGTCTGAGGAGAGAGCAGACTGCAGTGAGTCAGGGCAGGCTCAGTTGGGGAAGCAAGGCAGAGTGAGGTGAAGGGCAGAAGGGTCACAGAGGAGGGCAAGAAAGGAGAGGAAGCTGGGGGACCCAGACTAGAGATTTGAGCACCTCAGCTGCCATTTGGCATGGCCAGGGTTTCTACTGCTGTGACCAAAGCAACCGGGGAGGACAGGGTTGTTTCTGCTTACAACTCTCAGGCCACCCTCCCCCCAGCGGGGGGGGGGGGGGGGGGGTGTCGCACTCCATCACTGAGGGGAGTTGGGGTAGGGGCTCAAAGCAGAAGCCTGTAGGTCAGAGGCCATGGAGGAACACTACCCACTGACCTGCTCCCTATGGCTTGTTCAGCCCCCTTATCAGAACCTCCTCCATAGTGATAACATATCCCCCCCGGGGAGCTGGGGGAGCTGGACCCTACCACAACGACTACCCCAGTCGGGCGGTGGTGGTGCACGCCTTTAATCTCAGCACCTGGGGGGAGCAGAGGCCGGTGAATCCCTGTGAGTTCAAGGCCAGCCTGGTCTACAAAAGCTAGTTCAGAACCAGGACAGAGGAAAATCCTGAGGAAGGAAGGAAGGAAGGAAGGAAGGAAGGAAGGAAGGAAGGAAGGAAGGAAGGAAGGAAGGAAGGAAGGAAGGAAGGAAGGAAGGAAGGAAGGGGGG